GACAAACAAATTCAGTCAGAAAAAGAGGAAAAGAAAAGTGTGGACAGGAAGCTGGAAGAGAGCAGAGAAGAAACAAGAAGAAAACAGGAAGCCTGGGAGAAAGAACGAAGAGAAGAAAGAGAGAAACGAAAACTAGAAGATGAACAGAGACGAAAGGAGGAGGAAAAACGACTGAAAGAAGAGAAAGAAAAAATAGAGCAGGAAAAAGACCAGAAACTCCAAAAAATGAAAGCATATATGAAAATGGAACGTGAAGAGAGAAAGAAAGAACAGGAAATGAGAGAAGAAGAGGACAGGAAACGGAAAGAGGAGGAAGAAAAACGTAGGCAGGAGTTTACAATGAAACTTGAAATGTTGGACAAACAAATTCAGTCAGAAAAAGAGGAAAAGAGAAGGATGGACAAAAAGCTGGAAGAGAACAGAGAAGAAATGAAAAGAAAACAGGAAGCCTGGGAGAAAGAACGAAGAGAAGAAAGAGAGAAACGAAAACAAGAAGAAGAACATAGACGACAGGAGGAGAAAGAAAGAATAGAAAAGCACAAGCAGGAAAAGGAAAGTTATGAAAAGAAAAGAAAGGAAGAAAATCAGAAGAGAAAAGAAGAGGAGGAAAAAGAACGAAATCAGCTGGAGGAAAACCACAAAACAAGTGTGGAAAATCTGAAGAAGAAATATGAAGATGAGGCCAGAAAGAAAGCTGAAGAGTACAATGATTTCACAGAGAAACACAAAAAAGAGTTTGCAGCTCAGAAGAAGGAGCATGAGGATTTCACAGAGAAAGTCAACAAAGAGTTTGCAGCTCAGAAGAAGGAGCATGAGAAAAAAATTAAAGACAAAGACGAGAAGTATGACCTGTTAAAGGCTCTGGCTGAGTTTAATGAAAAACAAAAGAGAGAAAAACATCTTGGAGAAATCAGTGATGTGATAAAGTGTCTGACCAAGAAGAGAGGAAATCTGAAAAAAATCCAAGACTTGCTCACAAAACATGAGAACCAAATGAAGAATGCAAAACAACAGGATGAAATAGAAAACCTGCAGAAAACCCATGAAACAGATATAAGTGAACTAATACAGAAACTTCTGAAGGAGGCAGAATTTTCCTGCAGCATTTTATGAGCTGATTAAAATTATTGTCAGATTTCAGCTACACAAACAAATGATTTTCCATGTATTTAATACAATTTGTAATATTTCAGCACAGAATACCACATGTTTATGAGAATGCAGGTGTAACTGCTGGTGCATTAAATAACTCTGTACTACAATAATTTTAAGGTTGATTCATAAACAATTTGCAATCAGCAGATATTTGATTTATCCTTTAAATTCTTATTATCATTAGTGAGTTTCACTTTGTGTTTTTGTTTTCTAAAGAAAACATCTCTATGTTTTTTCATATAATGTACACTTTTATCAGTTAGTATAAAATCATTAACATGCTGTTTTTATACTGTATTTTTCTTTTTAGTAATTCTTGGAGGTGGAATCTTATTTAAAAAACCTTTTAAATTTTTTTTTGTTAAAATGGAAGATTTTTTGTAAACATGAAAGAATGCAGTTTCTAAGTAAGAAAGAAAATCACAGAAAATGTAAAAATGTCAGAATTACTTTCTGTATTTTGTCTCATGGGGAATAAGAATTGTCCATCAAGATAATTTAGACTGATTTTATGACACTGTTCTTTGGTTTTGTTTATTGACATTTATACTAACGAATATTTAGTAAAACAGGAAATACCATGTGTTGGGGTGTGGTTTGCAGTTTCGTGCAGGGAAGGCGGACGCACCTGATGGCATCTGCAATTACACCGGCCGTCTTAAATAAGGGGTATTGGGGTTTGTGTGAGAGTTGTGGTGTGATGTGATCAAATTAAGAGCGACATTAAAAACAATCACACTGAGTAAAAGAGTTATTCTCTCATTCCTTTAAGACAGACTTAAACTCTCCCAAGGTAACCAATTCTGATAATTTCATTTCCTTCTGCAGATTATTTCAGGAAGCAGGGGCAGCATATTAAAAGCCTTTTTCCCCAATTCTGATTTTTGGGACATTCAGTTGCATGAGAATGAAGGCTGTATTGGTTGTGGTTTTTACACATATAAACACATAAATAAGAGGGAACCAGCTCAAGGAGAAATTTATAGGTAATGATCAACCAATGGGAGAGTCTGCGAATATGCAAAGATGGACATTTAGCAGAACAATGATGTACACGATTTCCATAGCCAGTAATAAAACGTAAAGCACAATGGTACACAGTATCCAACCTCTTTAGGTAGTGGGCAGGTGCATTCATAAAAAGCAGGTCACCAAAATCCAATAAAGGTAAAAAGGTAAAAAAGGTAAAAAAAAAGTATTTTCTCACTTGGAGAGAGAAACAGGATTGATTTCTAAAAAAGTAACTTAGTTTTAGTTTTAACTTCGACAAAAGGCTTTGAATGTTAGTTTTAAACGACAAATTCTGATCTATAATGATCCCTAGATACTTGTAAGATGTGACCATTTCAATCCAGTTCCTTGAATAGTTTTAATCTTAGGAGACGTAGCTAACAACTCTTTGCCATTTGAGAATAACATGAACTTGAATTTCTCCAGATTTAACACCAACTTAAGTTAAATGGGACTGAACGACATCAAAGGCAGACTGCAGAAATTGCAGGGCTTGCTATTGAAAGAGATGAACAATAGATAATTGTATCATCTGCATAAAGATGGAATGCAGCATTTGACAAATTATCACTGTTGTATGTAAAGAGAAAAAGAGCAATGGCCCTAATATGGAGCCCTGTGGACCTCCTTTGGGTACTGGGAGAAAAGAGGAAGAGGACCCAGCAGCTGACACACTGTTTTCTTGCTGACAAGTAATTTGAAAACCAACTTAGAGCATTTACAGATAGACCAATATTGTTTAATCTATTTAATAAAATAGCATGGTCAACTGTATCAAAAGCCTTTGACAAGTCAAGAAAAAGAGCAGCACAGTATTTTTTGCAGTCCATTGAATCAATGATGTCATTAACCACTTTAATAGCAGCAGTTATTGTGCTGTGTTGTTTTCTGAATCCTGACTGATGTTGGGAAAGAACTGAATTTTCGTCCAAAAAGTCTTTCAGTTGTTCATTAATGAACTTTTCTAGAACACACAATTTAGATATGGGGCTGTAGTTATTAACATCTGAAGGATTACGTCCTTTCAGCAAAGGAAAAACATAGGCAAATTTCCATATTGCAGGGATCTCACTGTTCAAGAGGCTAAGATTAAAAATGTAAGTTAGCGGTGCTGCTATAAAATCTGCAGTCAACTTAAGAAAATAGGGATCAAGTTGATCTGGTCCTGCAGATTTATTTAGATCCAAGGTCATTTACCAGATGTTTAGTAGTTTTTGAAAGATATAATTCTGATTTGACCTTTTTAATTAAGGAAGTTGAACGGTTTCTGAGCTGTCTAAAAATCAGCCAATCCGCTTCAGATTTAGTTTTTCTGGCCTGAGCCCAGGCAGCATCCCTTTTTTGAGTAGACTGGAGAGCTGAGAAGAAAACCAAGTGTTGTTTCTGCATTTTCCTTTAAATTTGCGCATGTTTATTTATAATTTTGATAAAAGTGTCATAAAAATAATTACATGCCAGCTCAAAATTAGTTATCAGGTAGATTCTATTCCAGTTATAGTCCTATAAGTGATGAAAGAAAGCTTGTTCACAGAAATGCTTAAAATTGCATTTATTTATTTTTTATTTATTATTGGACCATCCCGGCCTTGCCGTATTGGTCCATTTGATTGACCTTGTTTTTATTGTTTATTTTATTTTATTTTATTTTCAGTTGTTACATATGGGACAGACAGACTTAAAATCTCCTTTAAAAACTATTTGTGGCCTTGATTTTGGGAGCGTCAGTTGTCTGACTACAGCTACCACACAGTGGTCACTGATATCATTTGCAAAAACCCCAGTGTGAGAATATTTATACGGCATGTTAGTTAAAAATAAATCAATACTTGATGACTTTCCTGGGCATTTAAGATTTGGATGAGTTGTGCTGTGAATTAGTTGTGTGAGATTATATGAATCACACATGGATTTAAAACTGACTGAGGCAGAGGACAACCAGTCCTAGTTGAAATCTCGGGCCAGCACAATTTCATTAAAATCTTATGATTGTGTTTTTTTACTTTTGTCTGCTTTTAAACTTTGTTCAGTCTTTAACATTATTGCATTTCTCCTTTACAAATACAATATAAAAGGGTAATAAAGAGTCAAAAAGAATGATAAATCTTTCTGTCTATCTATTGTACAGTCAGATTTCTTTTCTGTTGTATTGATCACAGATTTTAACCATATCACTTTAGCAATAGTAATATCACTTCATCACTTAGTTGTATGCATGTGCATCATAAGTGGGCCTCATGTTTATTGTACCTTCAGGGGGCCCATTGTAAAGTTGAAGACACCCAGGCTGCATGTGAAGCGCAATAATTTTGCTCATCTTGGGAAGCAGAGTTGGGAAGTAAATCTTTAGGTAGTGGCTGAGCAAAGTTGTAGGTCCCATGTGAGGGAGAAGGTATAGACTCATGTGATGTATTGTGGAATGTCTTTGTCTCTGTGCTTGGTCAAGGTATATAAAGGGGGTGTCTAAAACCATGGGCTGCATCCTCCTGAGGACGCATTTGTAGACTGATTACGTCACAGCCAGGCGACGAAGGCTGTCCAAAACCGTAGACTCCTCCAAATGTGGCCAACAAATGCGTCCTCCTTTTCCCCACATTTGGAGGATGGCTCGGGTGAATCCTTCGTGGCCCACCATATGATATCCATATGATATATGATATCCAGTTTGCAACAATGGCGGCCGCTACTAAGTTTTAATATTACTCTTATTACTCTTTCTGGGTCACAAAATAAACTTTTAAGATATTTTCAGGCGAGAATGTAGCTGTGTAAACTTCAAATCTCGCCTCGGTTTATCAAGACATCACATATTTGCAAAAGTGCTCTGACGCTCTGATAGCTAGCTGGCCCTGAATTCATTGCGGAATTTTTCTCATAGAAATGGCTTAATCAGATGTTATGGGTTTGGTTGAGTTACAGACTGATGAGTGGAGAAAGTAGGAAACAGCTTATTCTTCTATATCTTACACAGAGTGCTGTAAATCTGTTAATACCACCAGTGACACAAAGTAAAGTTGTACATGTACTTGAGTACTTATAGAGTATAATTCATACTGTATGTTTAAATCGTATTGATGTATTTCTTTTTTTTTGTAGTTTTCTATTTCTGCTCTACTGTATTTTGAATTCAAACATTGTACTCCCTGACATTTATTTAATTACTATGTAATGCTACATTGTTCTAGTTAAGTGACTCAGCAGTATATAAGTTGTTCCAACCATCTAAAGCTGCAACATTAAAATAAAACCGACATAAATCAATAATTATGATCCTGTATCATCTATATGATTTTGGAGAGTAAGTTCTGTTAGTATTTCTTTAGGTATATTACTTTTGTATGATTACTATATTCTCTGCACTTATAATCCTGGTTGCGCTTACTGACCTCAAACCGATTTTACGTGGTGCACGGTGCTCAAAACCTATCAAAAAATGTTTTAGTATGACTTTGGTAAGTTATGAAGATGGATTGCGGGAGCATTACGGTTACCGCAATCAGGAGGCTCGCAGAGTAAACTGGGTCCAAAACTCAGTCTGCTTCAGGTCCCAAAGTCAAACAAACACTGCAACATCACTGAGAGTTAAAAACCATCTCAATTGGATGAATGCTAACTCTTTTCCACTCGATAAAAGTTAAAGTGAGGGTTTCTGGTGGTTAGAGACAAATGCAATCGCATGGCAGGATGCTGTAAATGGACCAAACTTCAGTCAGGAGAACAACTGAGATCCACAATACCAGGTTAGTTATTAATATACTGCAACAACATGGGAATAAAGCAGCTGTGAGAGAATTCAACATGAATGAATCAATGGTACGGAAGTGGAGGAGGCAAGAAGAATGAGTTGAGTAAACTTTGACTTATCTGACTGTTTTGTTTTGCTTAATGTGCCTTAGGGTTTGAAAAATATGGTATTCAAGCAGAATTCTGACTTTACCAGTCGTAATACATCATCTTGTAAAACAGTTATTTCACGCTGTTTAAACTTCTGTGCAGCTATCTGTATAGTTCCTGTATATCAATGTAAAATTCAGTATTTCTGTATCAATTTACTATACTGTATTTAATTAGTTGTGATTTCCTGTTGACTCTTTGTCTCGCTCTCCTCTATCAAAACTGATCTAATACACCTCTGATCCAATGT